TGGGAAAATTATACTACCAGTCCTTCATCACCTTACACGAAATAGGGTGAATACATCTCATTACACTAATCTAATGGAGTCTGGTGTCCAGGCAGACTCCATGTGCATCTGTTCTTACAAGGAAGAAAGAGGAGAAAAAAACATCATTGGCACTGTCTTACAGGTGCAACTTGTGAGAGCTGGAAGTGTAGAATCTTATATTATGAAAGCAGTCATGACAGACCCATCAAGAATGCTAGCGAGGGACTGAGAGTTCAAATAGGTGAGGCCACGTTGGGTGAAACGACATTATCGAACAACGGGTGGTTACTCTCTACCTACTCATTCGCTATCAGTAGTGACGCCTGAGAGGTCAGTTGAGGGTAGGCACTTTGCAAATGTGCTTTTTCTTATGAGAAATGAACTCATGAGCAAAGGCAGTACTAAAGACTTTAGTTGACATTTTTGTGTCAGAGACAACCGAGATAAAGGCTTGATGTATGCAGCATGGAATTCTACTAATTACAACAGTCGAGGGCAAATATGGAGCAGTTTAAAAGAGGTGTTGCCCTGAGGGTGAGCAGTACAAGAGGGTGCGAAGTAGAACCGGAAAGAGATAGGAATGAGTTTAAGGCGAAGAACCCGGAGCTAGCCAGCAGCGGTAGGTGGAAATACCTAATAACTCGGGTAAAGAAGAGAGTTAACTGGTGCAGATGAACTGACATACACAGTCAAATGTCAGTGATAGTAATCAAAAAAAGAATTGAAATAGCTATTGGAAAGTGAGGAGTAAAGGGACAGGTTTCGGCAGGCTAACTTAAAGGAACCTAATGTGAATAACGTAAACGTTAATTCGCAAGTGAAAATAGTCACTATTAAAGAGAAATAAACACTCAATAATCCGAAATACTGATGCGAATGAGGAGAAATGAAGAAGAGGAAAGGCTTACCTTACCATATGCAGTAACGTTTTTTGTGAAAATAAATTTATGAGTGGCAATGTTCTTGATGAACCAATCGAAGCTCTTGCAATGTAGCCTCTGGCGCAGTTCGATGCGTTCTGAAACGTCACCTCCGTCTACTGACTGAAATAAACATTAGAAATAGAGCGTAATAACTTTTGTAGCATGTTTCTCATTTAAAACAAAGCATGCGGTATAGAGGGATGTTGCCCTAATTTTATTTATTCACAAGTGGGTTGACCTTGTCCTCGCAGACTGCTCGTGCTGCCAAGGCGAAGTAGCTGAACGCATATTGTTTGAAATCCTCTAGTATCCATAATAATGTCCATTTTCTGACCGTGGATTTAGTGCATTCCCAATCGTTTCGCGGACATCGTCTCTAGGCGTTGTTAATCTCAGCACCAAACTACAACCTGTCAGAGCCAAATAAAGACCATATCTTGACAAAATTGCTGCAAAATGACTATACAATATCCTACCGTCCTAATACAACTGCCTATCGCATAGCCTCGTAGCTCATTCCGTCTCTATCGCAACTCCAAACTTGTTAATACTGAACTAATTAAAAGGTGCGCGTCCCTTTGAAGGGGTCAAGTGAGGTGCTTTTATATACATAGCTAGTCTACTTTGTCACCCCCTATCTTAATTTGCTGGAATTGCTGATCCGACTTGGATTCGATAAAAGAAAGAGTAAAATATTTGTATAACATCAAAAAGCTACATTGAGAAGCCCAAATATCGTGTATTTATGCCCAATCAACTAAAGCATTTGAATAGACTGAAAGTGGAATGGTGTTTTTTCCGTGTCCTCATTTATATAGCCCGGCTTTTGTATAAATGTGCGGATGGTAGACATCCTTCGCAGGCATAATGTATGCGCCTATACATGCAGCACTACCATGATCCAATATTAAACAAGTTATGGATATTTTTTTAATTGTAGAAACAAATCGAGACCCAATGATTAAGTCACCACAGAAAGCAATGCAGTTTAAAACATCCCATCGAAAGGAAGAACCCTTTAACAAATCAGATAAGAGCTGACCCAAAAGTAGAAATACATTGCTGCCTTTCAAAATTTAGAGAAGTAGATTCTATGAAATGCGAAGCTGCAAGAACAAAACGGAATGGCTTAAAATGATTCCAAACCAAATATTCTAATGAAAGTAAAGATGATACGGCCTTCGGTTTATATATATAGAATGACCTGACGATGCAAGTGCCTCAGACCAACTTTAATCCCAAAATAAAGGTGAATTAGCCAATAGTCAATAAATATTACATCCGGAAAAATATATAAATTTGCTAACAGAAATTTATCTATCATGGCGATGATAAAATGCAAGATGCAAAAGCAAAAATATGAAATAAACTGCAATTTGATAGTCTGCCAAGTAAGGTCAATGATACCTAAATAGTTCGGAGAACATGAACCCGAGAACTTGAAATAAGTCCGCTGAACAGGGGTTTTATCTTACTTTAAGTATTGGTGCCATAAGAAAAACGTCTTTCCTGTACTCATCCATCCATACGTCAATCATTCTTTTCGTGTTTATTCCATGGTAATTTCTTGTTTTGCCTAAAAAAAGAAAAGATTTCTGCTATTGAAAAAGATAACGATATATCAGTATAAATGAGCTTAGTTAGCATAAAATATAGAAAATACGGAAATTCGCCATTCAAGGACAACAGATTTACAAACCAGGCAGAAAAGTCAGATAGTAGAACTGTTTTTCAATGGGGATTAAAATTGACTTTTAAATGAATCAGCTATTTAAATTTTACATTTATACAAACATTAGTGAGAAAACTTTAGCATTTGCTTAAAATGCGTCAGAACAAGATATGGATAAAATTAATGATTTGTTATGCTTAAGTAAAGTTTGCGCTCGATAATAGGTTCCGTAGATCACTACTTCTTTATTTAAGAGTTCATATCAGATAAAGTATATGTGGGTTAAGAATTATCACTAAGACACATTAATAGGTCGTGATGCAACCTGAATAGGCTTTAATAATAAATCGCATCCTAAAAGAATCCTAAAATAAAAATATTTGGGATCTCATAACTAATTGGATGAAGGAGCATAGACCAGCCTGCTTTTTTTCCATCGGCAAAGGGAGTTTCTACTTATCTTCTTTGACGAACAGACCCTATGAAATGCGAAAGAATGAAATAGTCAGAATCGACATATTCAGGCATTCAAGAGAACAAAATAGATGATTGACCTTGTTTTCGCAACTTGGTCAAACAACCTCTATACAATGAAAGGAGACTGCGACCACACAAAAGGCCACACCATCTTGATCTTCATACCTTCGATTAAAATAGATTATTGCTGAAAAGTCTGAATTTCTTGAACTTCACCTGTTTAATAATTCTTTGCTTGTTATAATACCTCACATCATCGAGGGCAGTAGATTTGCCAAACTAGTGCATGCCGATTTCCTAATTAAAATGTTCGATTATCCATCACTTTAATCTTTACAATAATCTTTCATTAGACTAGAAAATATTGCTCTGAAGGTCAGCTATGGTCGCCAGAACTAAATGCTCTCACGAACTGCGCTCAGTTGGCTTAATCTTAATTAATATGTTTTTCTGTATAACAATCAACTCATCGTAGCCAATCAGGAGTTGTCCTAGCTTTTACCTTATACCATTACATTAGGGAACGCTAAAAATTGGTTTAAGCTAATATTCAGCTCATTGATCCTTTAATTAGATAAGTATATAAAATGAAAAACAGTGAAACAGTCAACAAATTTCACCTCCCTTACAATGCAGCCTAGAGTCGTTGACTTTAATGTCTAAACATTGAAGATTTTTCTTTTTTTATCTTGGTTGTAGCAGTTAACAAACCTAAGGATAATTATAATAAAATACCTTTTTGGATCCGAACCATAGCAGTTAAATGAAGTGATCTAGAAGGAAATTTGCCAGCGATGAGTTGCAATTTATGAAGTAAATTGTTAGTTTCGATTGTAACAATAATTTGGGGCAGTGACACAGATAAAAATATACAATAAGAAATAGATGATAAGAGAAACGAATGAAATGAATACTTACTTGGAAATCCATAGGGATGTATAGGACGGAATATATGGCCAACATGAGAACAAACTGCGACTTCGATAGAGCCTCCACACTGCCAAACTCTGAAGGACATCTCCAAGTTTTCACCTCCCCATATCTCCATGGCGCTATCATATGAACCAATATGAAAGAAATACTTCCTGCTGATGGCAAAAAGGCCTCCTGCCATCGTTAAGGATTTTATTGGATCAGTTGTAAGATTACGGGAACTAACAAACCAACTTGGTGGCTGCTCCCAACTGAAATGCCCACTCCATGTAAAGGTCCCCGTGTTGGAAGTAAGTTGACCATCTGCAGTACGCATTGGACCATAAATAAACGACAGTGTCTTATCATTTATTGAATGAATAATGGGGCAGACAACTGAGGTGGGAGACTCTTGAATACGAGAAAGTAAAGGCTCTATCCACAGCGTAGTGGCCTCACAGTGGGCATCAAGGAAAACGAGTACATCACCAGAAGCTTTGCTAGCACCCATCAGACGGGCTCCAATCAAGCCAAGTCGCGACTCAGATCTGAAAAGTCTCACTATACCATCTGGCCAGGTATCAGCAATATATTGCTGAAGAGGAGACAAAAGTTCGGCTAAAAGT